CTGCAGGTAGTTGGGTACCAGGGTTTAAGGTACATGAGGACTTGACAACAGGAGCATTGGACAACGTCGCTGTCGCTGTACGGACCCCGGCCGTTGATTATTTCACTCAAAGCGTAAAACCAGTCTGAGCGACTGTATCCTGGCCAAACCTGGACGAGATGAATCGCGGAAAGCAGAGAAACGACGATGTACCTCAGTCCACCACGACTTTCGGCATCGCTCTTGTTCATAGTCGGCCAGGAAAGCACCGGATCAATTAAATGCTCAGATATGAGACATTCCGTTTGGCTGTCGTTGCAGTAAGCAATCAGCTGGCAGATACGGACGAGACAGAGGGAAGAAGTGGTATCCGGCATGATCACATAGTTGTCATTGTCCATAACGTAGGAACCGGTGCAACGCAGTTCGGCCAGTGAATGTCGCAACAATGAGGTTGCGTCGGGCGGCTGTTCAGACATATCACAACAAATATAAGTGGAGACGACGGCACAGATTTTCTTGGTCAACGACTTACGCCGAGTAACGAGATGGCTGAAAATCAGAAAGAACAGCGGAACTCGGCTTGCCTCGTCAAGAACGAGTTGCCGAAAGGCGAGAGGCCAACAGACCGCTAATGAGAGCAACATCTCAAGAACATGAATTGTACGGCTGCATCGACTGGCGATAATCACTGAGATGACTTCCTTGAACAGATCGAGCCTGTTCATCTGTTCGCATAACACGGCACAAATCCGACAGTAGGTTTCCTTTTGGCCAACCGTCAATTCAGAGGCGGAAACGATCTTACGCCGTATTTCGAAAATTAGCTTCTCGTAAACTTCAATCTTCCATTCCGGCTTGAAGGTAAACAGCCGATCAAAAAGGGCCAACAGGCTGGACTCATTTTTGGATAACACTTGTTTACATGCTGGCATGCAACCTACTCCGGCCATACGATAAATGCTGTTTAGCATTTCGACCGCATTTTCAGTCATGACGCTTAGAACAGCACTGACCAGTACTTGTGGTTTGATCTGCGTAATCTTCTTCATGAAGTTGTTGACGACTGTGACAGGCAAATATCCTCTTTCCTGTCTGCACATCTTTTCTATGTTGCATTGGACGTACAATAGGATCGTCTTGGGAAGAGGTGGGCGCTGTATACAACAAGGGAACATCTCTTTCGGTTGTACGACAGTTTTCGCAAGAGCTGGTCTTTTGGCATTGCCACCACCATCATCGTCAGCCAGTGTTCTTTTTCTTCGAATGCATCGAACCACTTTCGACACAGGATCCTCAGATTTTTGCTGCTTCCTGCGACTTACGTTGTTGTTGCTCACAGAATCAGTCCCAAACTCAGTTACTTCAAGATCAGTGGGTACGGTACTTAACCTTTTTCTCCCCCGTCTGGCACCCGTAGTTTCAAGGCTCTGTGTGGACACAACTTGTTTCTGTTTGTCACAGTTTTTTGTAAATTTAACTCCTTTTAGACAGTTGTTAATATCGGCTTTTACAGCATAGTCTTTCATCTCTTTATCTTGCTTCTCATCCACCTGCAACTCAGGAGACGAGGAAGAAGACAATTCACCAAACATGTCTTCAACGATGGAAAGTTTCTCAACCGGTGCCGAAATTTCGGCATCGAGCTCCAAATTCAACTTTTCAGAAGTCACCGCTTTCATCCAGCGTTTTTCAGGAGAACGTTTGACAACCGTCTCAGTTACTGTTTCAACACTGTCTTTACTGCAATTCGGCAGCGAACGTCGAGATGCGGAGGGTGGTTTAAACTTCGTTTTAGAAGCAATAAGTTGTTCGGTTTTTCTCTTTTTCTTGACAACGTTAGGAGTTGATTTTGTTTGATTCGAGACCGCACGGTGATCACCGATGAAAGACGACCTTTTGATCGGTTTGTTTGAAGATGACATGCTCATCACAACCTCTCCTGCGGTTTTCTTACTGACTATTGCGTCCGTCTTGTCATTTTCATTGCAAACCAGCAATGAAGTGGGAGATTCAGGACAGGGTATCAACTCATTTTCCGGATCACCCGCATCTGGTTTCACATCTATAAGTTGCGAAAGTGCTGTGACTGTTTTTTTTTCATCAGTGCACGTAGAGGGAGAAACATATTTAAACTTATTTGAACCGGTTATGCCTGTTGAGAACTGTTTTGCAACCACCTCGTTTTCATCACTGCAAATTAGCAGTGGAGGTGGTGACTGAACAGGAGATATCAACTTGTCATCTGTTGAATCAGCATCTTGCTTTGCATCTCTGAGTTCATCCGAAACATCAAGGGGTCTTTCTTTTAAACCTGAGACCGGACTCTGGCCACTGCTGGATGCAGGCAACGACTTGTCGATCGCGCTGTTGTGACACTTTGCGCTCCTGGTAACCACTGCTGACACTGTTTCTTCCTCGTTGGAAAGTGTCAGTATAGGACTTAAAACTCGACTGAGTCTAAGCTCATTCGAGAAACGAGCTTTCTGTGCCCTTTTGGATTTCTTAGTATCTTTCAGTGGCCTTTCCTTCTTGTCCGACGTCGGCTGCAGATCATTAATAGACAAAGACGACAAATTCTGTTTGGACATTTCTGAAGATGTCCTGTCTTTCCTGGTTGTTTCTTCTGTCGTACACTGGTCGCAAATTGTCAATGAAGGAGATATGACGGGACCCAACTTTGACCTTTTTGAGACATCAGTCACTTCTGTAGCGTTTTTGATTTCATCAGCTAAGTCATGAGTTGCTTTTTCTTGGTTCGAAGAAAGATGAGGTCCACTAATCGACACCAATGACAGGGTATCGCTAACTTCGCTTGAACATGTGTTTTTCATGACCGTCTTTGTTGGAACTTCTGTGCGTTCTTCACTGCTATTCAACACGAAAGGTGGCGACCTTTCTCTTGTCTTCTTAACAGTGTCCAAAATTGTATTCTCCTGCTGTAAGGGCACTAAAGAGGCAGAAGGCGGTCTTTTCGTCCGCTGATCTGAACGCGTCACACGTTTTGTGACGCAACTTTTGACCGCACGATGAATCGAGATCGAACTACATGCTGACACGTACTGTGAACTGGCGCAGAAATTTACATTTACATTTGAGTACAGTTCTACAGGATGAGTAGTTCTGGTGTTTTGCGTTTCCAGCAGACAAACCACTTTTGAAATCACGTGTCTCAAGACTTCGCCATAAACCATGTCGGGGTCTTCGTCATCGATTGCGTTCTTAGTCAAAAGACTGCTTTCTTCAGTCTTAGTAGGAGTAGCAACAGATGGTGGCGAAACTTTCGAATGAAACACTCCGGGTCTGCTCGGTTTTAACTTTTTTCTGGTGAAATAATCGGCACTCACTTCTTCGTCGAGGAAAGCTGGTCTTCTTCCGTTGGTCTTCGATACGATCATTCGATCCTGATCCAAGTCCTGAAGCAAACAATAGAAATATACAAAAAAATTTCTTAAATTCTAATATTTGTTTTTTAACGAAAGGTAACAAATAATATTGATTACTCC